GCTTTTGGGGGAACTGGTAAATAACCTGTCTCTTGTTCTGGGTGCCGCTTATACAGATGTGTTCAGTTTGTGCAAAACTCAGTGTGTCATACACTTACGATGAGTGCGTTTTCTGTATGTATATTACACTTTAATAAAAATTCATAAATTTCAAAACAAAACAACTGAAAACCCTGCTGGGGTGAGGAGTTACTGAAAATGGGCGCAGACAAAGTAGCCATCGAGGATATTTTACTTCTCCATTTCTCCTACTCCAAACAGCCCGGGCTAGTGGATCACAAATAGGGCAAGAAATTCTTCCCAAAGCAGCTTCAGGACACTTTTTTTAAAATCCCGAAGCCCGCGCCACAGCCCAGACCAGTTAAATCAGAATCTCTAGAAGTGGAACTGGTGCATCAGTAGTTTCTGATCTACAGGTGATTCCAAACAGCACCACTGCTCTAAGGGTTTGACACTCGGGCCAGAGGGCAGCCGACCTGGTGGGAGTGGTCCACGTGGGTCTTGGAACCTGGGGTCGTTGTTCCGGCCAACCTTTCCCGGACTGACGAAGACAGGTGGAGGTGAGGAACTTTGCAGCCTCTCCCCGCAGCTCCATTTAGGAGGGCCTATTCTCTGTGGCACAAGCTGCGGCTCTCTAACATCTGAGGCTTTTCTCCATGGTTCCTTCCGGTCCAGGCCAGAAGTGACGCCGCGCTGCCCCGGAAGCACCTGCGGAGTGGCTGCGGAGAACGGCGGCGCAATGGCGGTAGCTGCAGTGTCCGAGGCCTGGCCAGAGCTGGAGCTGGCGGAGCGGGAAAGGCGGCGGGAGCTGCTGCTGACGGGGCCTGGACTGGACGAGCGGGTACGGGCGGCGGGCGGGAGGCTGCCCCCGCGGCTCTTCACACTGTCGCTCCTGCACTACCTGGAAGTAAGTGGCTGCGGGAGCTTGCGCGAGCCCGGGCCGGGCCTGGCGCAGGGCCTCCCGCAGCTGCACAGCCTCGTGCTCCGGCGCAACGCGCTGGGTCCCGGCTTAAGCCCCGAGCTTGGGCCGCTGCCCGCCCTGCGGGTGCTGGATCTATCGGGCAACGCGTTGGAGGCGCTGCCGCCAGGCCAGGGCCTGGGCCCTGCGGAGCCTCCGGCCCTACCGCAGCTTCAGAGTCTCAATCTTAGCGGCAACCGGCTACGCGAGCTGCCCGCCGACCTGCCGCGCTGCGCCCCGCGGCT